GAGTGGAACAAGTTACCAAATATCATCATTAACTCGAATACGCTGGATAGCTTCAAACATAGGTTGGATGGATATATGAGCAATAGGGGTTGGGTGCAAATGGAACTGCCCAGTATGGGCCAATAGGCCCACTGCAGTTTCCTCCATTCTTATGTTACCACCGCACCAGTAACTGCGTCTGTGGCTATCTGGCCACCGTACTGCTTCTTGAAACTCCTGCAGAGTTTCCTTAGGTGGCCCAGTTTCCCACAGCCATGACAGATGGCCGCCTTGGCCGGGCAGGATGCCCTGTCAAGGGCATGGTGGCCCGCGCAGTTACCACAGGGTTGGGGGGGGGGAGGTTTGGCTAGGAGAACAGCTGAGCAGGAGGCAGCTACCACTATGGTGTCCTTGGGAGTGACGTCATCCTCAGTAACCCCTCAGCCGCTGCCACTGATGGTTCGCGCCCAAATTTCCAGCCAAAAGCAGTGTCACGTTGTGCAGCCTCGAATGTGGTGCAATAGGCACGGAGGCTGTCAACATCACTGAAAGTATTACAGCTCTGAAACACTTCCCGTCTTAGGGCCCAGTCACATAGCCCAGCAATCAACTTACACAATAGCACTTAGTCTGAAATATTACTGTCACACTGGGGGCACCGAAATCCATAGTCCATGGCTTGCTGGGAGTATCGCAAAAAATGCACACTGATGGGCTCATTAGGACCCTGAACATAACTAAAGAAATCAGACCAACGCACTGCTGATTTGAAGCATGAAGCACTAATTTGCTGATTGCATCCATATCCTCCACAGAGGCCATGGCCCCTCACCGAGTTGTAGTGAATCTCGCATCCAAGGCACGCTGGAGAGCAGGAACACAGAGGAGGCGGATATGTAGGATGGCGTCAGCATCTGGTCACTTGTTGAGCTGCAACCAGCACTCAGTTGAGCGCCTCCAAGACCAGAAGGCCGCTGAGGACATCTCCAGGTCACATTTCTCAGGCACAGCGGCCGTAGAGACTTGTGGCTGAGATGACTGGCATGGGGCTGACATTGATGCCAAACTTGCCTGTAACGAAATGATGGCTTGCTGTTGTGACATCAGCACTGACTGGGCTTGAGCCAGAATCGCCGATGTCGCTGAAAGGTTGCCTCGGCGGGTCCTGGAGGGCGTTGAGAACCACGGGCGGCATGCGATGGGCATCTTGAGGTTGAGGTTCACAGTTAGACTCACTACGCCATGTTAGTTGTTTTCTTGAAGGGCAGGAGAAACACAGTGTAGTAGCCGAGAAATTTAATGTAGAGATGCTTACTCCAGGCCTGACAGGAAGTAACTGGCCTCTGGCGGCTAGCGTGCAGACCGCAGACTCTCCGCTATCGAGGGTTGCCAGGTAGCGCCAACATAACAATAATGTCTACATCTTACAGAAACCATAAGAGGGAAGTTTAGAAAGCAAAAACTTGTGCCATACCCTGTCAAATGCTTTGATGGTGTCGAGGGCCACGACAAAAGTTTCCCCATAATCCCTAAGAGAGGATGATTAAAGATGGGCAGTAGGAGAGCAGATCACCAGTAGATTTCCCCTGGCAAAAATCATACTGGTGATCCGACATGAGAGAATGGCGTTCAAGGTGACAGAGAAAATGAGAGCTTAAGATAGTTTCGAAAATCTTAGAGAGGGATGAAGTTAGGACAATGGGGTGATAGAAGGATTGGAATGGTCACCCTTCTTTGGGATGGGCTGAACAAAGGCTTGTTTTCAAGAAGAAGGAAAAGTTGGGGTTTTGAGGAAAGGGCAAAAGAGGTGAGCAAGCACAGGAACTAAAATTTCAGCACACTCCCTCAGAACACAAGGGGGTATTCCATCTGGTCCATGCGCCTTACTCACATCCAACCTGGATAACACACCAGCACCCTACGAGTGGAGATAATAGGAAGGTGCATAGGTTCAGTAGGAGGAGCGGGAGAGTAAGAGGGATAGAGTTGGAATCATCTAAGGTGGAGTTAGAGGCAAATAAGGTGCCAAAGAAATTGGCTTTATCAGGGGGAGAATTGGCTATAGAGTTATCAAGTCGGAAGAGAAGAGGAAAATAGGGAATGCAAAAGTTATTACAGATGTTCTTGGTTAAGGACCAGAAGGACTTACTAGAAGAAGAGTTAATCAGGACAGCGGTCCTTCTTTGTATAAAATTCCACTTGGCCCTACGAAGAATACTAAGCTGTGTCTAAAAACACCCTCCATAATTACCGAACCACTGATGGTCACCAATCATTTATTAGCCTTGGTTTTCAATGGTGTCCTTATGACATTGTGTTTGGTATCATACCACATGTTATCTGTGCTTGTGGAGGATGAAGACCTTCTCCAATAGTTCATCTGTGAACATCGACTAGTTGGCTGGACGTGCAAGTGTTGAAAAAGCAGCAGAGAACTGAGAGTGCCGTCATATATGTTTCAGTGCAGGAACGATTACATGCCACTAAAACGATTCCCAGATGGACAATTAGGTAAGGTTCGGTAAGTTTTTTAAAGGTTTATTTGGTGTTCTCAACATGAAAATCTATTTTTTTTTTTTTGTGTGTGTGTGTGTGTGTGTGTGTGTGTGTGTGTTTCTGGCAAATTTGACCTTCATTTCCATGGCAAATCTCAAGTTATTGTACTGGGAAAATGTAAAATCATAATTTCCTTGAATACCACAAATTTGCCAAGGAAATGGAGGTCATATTTGAATAAAACACACCAAAATACACCAGAAAAATAGGTTTTCATGTAAAATACATGAAATTCACTAAAACCAATAATTACCCTATACTGCACTGCAGGGGAGGAAACTCATTTCGGTATTATTTTTAGTTTGTAATGAATATTTTGCCACGACTGGCTAAATTTCTACTAACTGTAACAGGGGTGTCAAACTCATTTGCTACGGCGGGCAAGATTTAATATGAGTATGCACTATGCGTGCCAGGTAACATAATTAGGAGATGTTTTATAATGCGCCAAAAAAAAGGAAAAGAAACAAAATATGAATCTGGACTGAACCCGTACACTGGCGAGGTCTAGCGCAAGGCAGTGGTTAGCGGGTTTGATGCAACCGTCATGTGTACAACGTTTCCCTATAAATCTTATATATTCTTTTCATTTCAAAGGATTGACTGCACATCAATTCTACATTTAGTTAGTCATAGTTATAGATAACTGAGTGATTAAAAGGCGAAGCATAACTCACGATTTCTCCAAAGAAGTGGAGAGAGTCCAACAGTGTACAGTACACCAGTTCTCCTTGTCTGTTTAGCCTAGTATTGCAGCATTTGGCTGCAGCCTTTGTTCTGATGCCAGTAATGGCTGCGGCTTCCTTTTTTTAATTCGGTAAAATTGCATAAGCGCACCCTACTCTGTTAGAAAGTCAAAAAAATATTTTTCTAGTGTTTTTGTGTGTTTAGACCAAATATGACCTTCATTTCCGTCAAAAATTGGCCAGGTTTTTTTTTATCGATTTTTTTAGTGGGACGTTTTCCGAAAAAAAATAATGGCTAAGCGAATAAAAAATACGCCAAGAAACACTATAAAAACAAAAACCTAACCTAACTGACTCTCACCATATGATGGAATCAACTATTTCTTACCTTATTGGCCTGGTTCTTGTTCGTTGTTGGATTCTGAAATTCTTACACAACGCCACATATGTTGGTCTTTGCAATATTTACATTCAGTCTTGCACTTAGGGCAACTTTACTGAGGTTGGAAGAACACCATGCGATCGAAAAAATGCTATAGTTTCTTTGTTTTTTTCCCAAAAACTTGCAATCAGCTCCATATAATTTAAGTGACACCCATCGCAGACTTCCATGGTCAGAAATTAATTTGAATTTCGAAATGTGAGACCCAAAATAAAAATGGAATTTGATTGGTAGCAAAAAAGAACCGCTTATGATTTGCCGCGTGACGTGTACGAGAACGCATGCGCGTGATGATTTATGAAGGAGACACACAGTGTGGGAGGTGAGGTAGGCGATAATGGCGGAAGATTAATGGAAGAAAATAGAGAAAATTTTGGATATGCTATCTCCGTTATTATACATTTGCGACGCTAATGTAATAGATGAAAATTATCTCATAATTAGACGTCTTATTCGAATATAATAGATTAGTGGTAGGAATGTGGGGTGTGAAAATGCAATAATACCTTTAATTCTTTAGTGATTTTGATTTATAAGCATTTTCCCTTTACACTAATGTTATTACTAGCATTAACAATATAAATTCAATTATTGCCACAATGATGTAGAGATCATTTTGGAATTTACTGACTCATTCATATCTATTTCTCTCATAATTTCACGGGCTAATAAATTTTACTGTCATCCCGCGGGCCACACCTGACCTTCCCGTGGGCCACATTTGGTCCGTGGGCCATGAGTTTGACACCCCTGTACTAACGCTCTTTTACCGTGAATGCATTAATTAAGGTTAGGTAGATTTCTTTGGTTGGTTGTCACGTTCTAGTAAATGTCGCCTCTTTTATAATGATAAGTTTCCACGCACAACAGAAATATGGTTAGGTATGTTTATAGTTACACAATGATCGACTCACATGCTGCCAGTCACGGTCAAATATAGTTCTCGCGTTGTTTGCCGGTAATGGACGATTAGCCAATCCGAGTGCATTAGTAGGAACTTAGCTGGTCACAGCAAAATAACCACTGCCTTTTCAGTTTTGGTCATCCAGGGAATCAGGAATTTAACCCCTACTAGAAAGAGGGGTCTTGGGGGCGAGGCCCCGTTTAGGTTAGATATAGTTCCTGGAGTTTGTGCCTAGATTAGGTTAGGTTATGTCACATTGTTAGGTTACACTAGGTTAGGTCAGGTTAGATTGGTTAGGTTGAATATCTCAATAAAAAATAAAGGAATAACCGAAGCTATAAACTTAACCTTTATTTATACCTTAACTTCATTGGTGCGATTTTGTACCTAAAATATTTTGCTGAAACTTGTTATTTAACATATTATGTCTTACCACCAGTTATATCGATAGAGCCGACTGTAGATAGTGAACAGAGAAACAAGATTGATAATGGTCCCATTTTGTCAATAATTCCCGGACTTCACTTGACTCTTTGTTTACACCTCGGGGCGTCATGCGCAGCGCACTCTGGCCGTTCTAAGTACAGCATTAACACTTCAATTAGAATAAAATATATAAATATACAATACACATTGGAAACAGATTTTTAGTAAACAACTTATAATGTGCAGGACTACCGGTAAATATTTCCAACCAGGAAAAGGTTTGGATTATTTAACTGAAAACATCAGTATCTGCTTTTCATTTTGCATATTACAATGTTGCCTATTATGAATTAAATCGTTTAAGTCCCTTATATTTCAAAATCTTTATATATTTAGTATTAAAGAAGGTTATGTAATACGATAGTTATTGGTCTATCGAGGAGTTACCAATTTAGCGCTTTTCGCTCTAGATCTAGCGCTTTTCGCTCTAGATCTAGCGCTTTTTTGCATAATCTAGCGCCAAAATTTCACATTTTGCTCCTTAGAGCTTTTCTTGGCGCTTTTTCTTACATCTAGCGGCAAATTTGGTGTTTATTCAATTGATGGAAATTCCTCATCTGATACAAATCCGGTGTGTGTGTGTGTCACTCCCTACAACTCATGCTGCAGCAGAGTGTCTCCATAGGTACCTGGGCTCTATGATCATAGACCTATATTGGTTGGCCCACTGCCATTCTCCAAGCCAGATACAAGGATATCTTTTCTTTAATAAATGATGGTCAAACTCCCCTGAAATTAATACAGCTATGCCAAGCACGATTGCATTGGCATTGGAGTCATGAGTTAGGAGGTGAAAGAAGATGACTAGGGTTTGAAGAAAAGTGGTGAAACTGAAATACAGTAGGAGTAGAAAGAATCTGGGCTCAACCAGATCGCTATATCTTATCTATTGTTTTTTATCTTTGCTTTGCTCCCTCGGATCGTCAGACCTTTGTATTAGTATTGGTTTATTTATATGGTGCTGATTATTATACATCTTACTTCGTGTTATTTTCTTGTTTTTTTTGTTTTCTTTTACTGTGGAGTTAGTGAGCCCTCCCAGGTCCTTGTGTGGCTGGGAGGGTAGTCACTTGTTTTTTCTTTTTCTTTTTTAGATTTGTAGGAATATTACCTACGCGGACCTTAAGCTAAAATACTGGTCCACCCACTGCTGGGATAAAACACCAGCGTCATTATGGTTAAATGGGGTAGTCACATTTTTCTCGGATCATATGAAGAATCTCCCCCACCCCCAATTGTTGCCAACCGAAGAATCCAACCCCCCCCACCACCTCCACACACACAAGTTCCCATGTGAAGAATATTCCCCCCACCCTTCATTTCAGTTATACATTGTTTTCCTTCTTTACTTTTTGTTACTTAAGTTTTTTATGTAATATATTAGTTAAATCAGGATGAGAAAATGCAACATATGCAGAATAGTTTATTAAACTTGTCATCACATAGGGTACTGAAGGGAAATATGAGTACAGTACATAGATCTCATAAGCATTATTATAAAATCGGTCACGCTACATAAATTCCTGCAGGTATGAATGAAGAACTTAACCTAACCTACTGGTGAGGTCTTGGCCACCTGTTGTGTCCCCAGTGATCATGTGAAGAATATCCACCCCAGACTAGTTCATATGAAGAATTCCCCCCCCCCCCCAGACTGCTCGGGGGGAGGGGGGGGAGATTCTTCATATGATCCTTTTTCTCTTTTTTTATGTGCAAGTTACAGTAAATGTTAGTTGTGTTAGTCTAAAGGTACACTGTATGGAGAAGCCTGCCAGGTTCTTAGTGGAGCTGGTAGATCACTCTCATCTTTTATTCTCTCCATTAATGTTTTATGTGTATATTGGGGAAGGGGATGGTTCACTTACTTTCCTTCTGGCGGATTTAAGCCAACCTGCCAGGTTCTTAGTGGAGCTGGTAGGTCACTCTCATCTTTTATTCTCTCCATTAATGTTTTGTGTGTATATTGGGGAAGGGGATGGTTCACTTACTTTCCTTCTGGCGGATTTAAGCCAACAATGTTCTTGGATTTCTTCATTATCTATATTATTTATCGAGTTTTGTTAAGTTTCTGTGTTGAGTTAATTCACTTTGTTCCAAATATTTGTGGCTTTCTTGTGTATTTCTACATTGATTGCTAGTAGGTTTGCTCTCGTGTGTAGCTGTTCATTATTGATGTGGTCTGTATATTTTATGTTATAAATAAATCTGAGGGCTATATTTTGTAGTGTTTGTAACCTTTTAATGCTCGTTTTACTAAGGGTGTTCAATGGGATGAGTAATGCAGGATCAGACAGGTTCTACAGCCGCGAGGGACTCTTATTGCTTTTCCTTTTCTTTTATCCTCTTCACCAAAAGATCGGCTCGTTAGACGCTTGGGCGATTGGTCACGTCTCTGTTACGCACTGTTGGCAAGTACTGGGCATGCACCAGCTCCTGAATGTACTTGAACCCGCTCCAGTGTTGGTCAAGTCTTGTCTTGAAAGAGCTCACACTCGGTGCCGTCACAACACTTTCTGGTAGATTGTTCCAAGAGTTCACAACTCTCACTTCGAAAAAGTTTGCCTTCACAGTTTTCTGGACTTGCAGCTTCTTCAACCTTGAGCTGTGACCCCTTGTGGGGGTGAGCGTCCGCCAGCTCCAAGTAAGGACACTCGACAGAGTAGTGCCCCTTGAGATGCTTATGCACCTCAATTAGGTCACCCCTTGCCCGTCTGTAGTATAAGCTAGGTAAGCTCAGGCGCTCCAATCTCTCAGGGTAGCTGAGGTGCCGGAGGGCACCAGTCTGGTGGCCCTCCTTTGAATATTTTCAACCAACTGACAGTCTTTAGTATATCTCGGGAACCAGACGGGGGTGACAGTGCTCCACATGGGGAAGCACTTCACTCTTGAAGATCGTTACGAGGAACGGACCGTCTAGATATCGGAAGGACCTTCTTATAAGACCCAATAATTTATTTGCCTGATTTATTTTCTTCTCGCAATGGCCCGAGAACTTCTGCTCATTGTCAGCATACACACCTAGGTCCTTCTCACATTCAGTTTCAAATAGTGCAGTTTCTTCTTCCCGTTGTGACATATGACACGCCTCCTTACCGTCGGTACGCCCCAGGTGCATCTTCTTACACTTCGTGTCATCGAATCTCAGCAGCCATTTCTTCGACCATTCTTGGAGCTCACAGAAATCCTTCTGGAGCTCTTCACAGTCCGCTTGGTTCTTGATTTTCCGAAATAACTTGGCGTCATCGGCAAACGTATGTATGGAGGAGTGTACAACGTCAAGCATGTCATTTATGAAACAAACAAACAACAGCAGGCCCAATACAATGCACTGTGCTACCCCGCTTGTGACAGGTACGGATGATGATTTTCTGCCATTAATCACCGCACACTGCTTGTGGTCATGTAGAAAGTCTTCTATCTACGCTAGGACATTTCCCCGAATTCCGTACCCTTCCAGTTTGATTTTCAGCCTTTCATGGGATACTCTATCAAAAGCCTTGGCAAAATCTACGTATATATTGTCGATATTACCATCCCGTTGCAGGAGCGCCCCGGCATAAAGCCATGTTGGCAATCCTTTACAAGGTTGTTTCGTAGTAGATGTTCCATTGCGGCAACTCTGATAATACTCTCAATTACTTTACATATTATGCTGGTCAGGCTCACCGGTCTATAGTTGTTCGTGGAGTGACGATTGCCCTTCTTGAAGATAGGACTCACATAAGCCACTTTCCATTCACTGGGGACCTTTTGTTCATCCAGGCATTTACAAAACAGGATCTTCAGGGGCTCGGCAAGCTAGTTGCACATCTCCCTTAGCACTCTGGGATGCACCATGTCAGGGCCGGGACTCTTATGGACCTTTAGCTCTGGCAGTTTATTTCTAATACCCTCTTCTGTGAACACAATGTGGGTCAGTGCTGTGTCGAACCGTCTGTCCCCAAACGTAGGAAGGTTAATAGCATCCTCTCTTGTGAACACCGAGGAAAAGAAGCTGTTCAATGCCTCGTTGTACACTCCTCCATACAAATGTTTGCCGATGACGCCAAGTTATTTCGGGAAATTAAGAACCAAGCGGACTGTGAAGAGCTGCAGAAGGACCTCTGTGGGCTCCAGGAATGGTCGAAGGAATGGCTGCTGAGATTCAATGTCACGAAGTGTAAGAGGATGCACCTGGGGCGTACCAACGGTAAGGAGGCGTACCATATGTCCCAACGGGATGAAGAAAATGTACTAGTTGAGACTGTGTGTGAGAAGGACCTAGGTGTGTATGTTGACAATGAGCTGAAGTTCTCGGGCCATTGTGAGAAGAAGGTAAATCAGGCAAATAAATTATTGGGTCTTATAAGAAGGTCGTTCAGATATCTAGACGGTCCGTCCCTCGTGACGATCTTCAGGAGTGAAGTGCTTCCCCATCTGGAGTACTGTCACCCCATCTGGTCCCCGAGATATGCTAGGGACTGTCAGTTGGTTGAAAATGTTCAAAGGAGGGCCACCAAGCTGGTGCCTGCACTTCGGCATCTCAGCTACCCTGCGAGATTGGAGCGCCTGAACTTGCCTAGCTTATACTACAGACGGGCAAGGGGGGACCTAGTTGAGGTTTATAAGCATCTCAGGGGGCACTACTCAGTTGAGTGTCCTTACTTGGAGCTGGCGGACGCTCGCCCCACAAGGGGTCACAGCTCAAGATTGAAGAAGCCGCAAGTCCGGAAAACCGTGAGGGCAAACTTTTTCGGAGTGAGGGTTGTAAACTCTTGGAACAATCTACCAGAAGTGTTGTGACGGCACCGAGTGTGAGCTCTTTCAAGAGAAGACTTGACCAACACTGGAGCGGGTTCAGGTACATTCAGGAGCCGGTGCATGCCCAGTATTTGCCAACAGTGCGTGACAGAGACGTGACCGATCGCCCGGGCGGCTAGCGAGCCGACCTTTTGGTGAAGAATATAAAGGAAAAGAGTCGTGACCGATCGCCCAAGCGGCTAACAAGCCGATCAGTGGCGAAGAGGATAAAAGTAAAAGTGTTATCCTGGTCAGAATATTCGTAACTACCATCTTCAAGCCTCAGGTCTGATACTCTTACTCGCGTTTTTAATTTCGACTTTGCATAGC